ATAGATGACGTCTTTATTTCCATATAAGATACCGTCCGAGCTGTCATCCGGCTTATATTTCGTAGCGCTGCGGCGAGTTTGAACTCATGAAGGAAAATTATAAGTATTCATTGCTTTGATAGCATTTTTAACACAGTCTAAAATCGCGCAAAATATATTGGAAATATAAATATTAATATAAAATGAAAGGATGTAAAAGCACGAATGTTTCTTTTATACATAATACAAACTTCTACTGCCCTTACTGCGGTGAAAAAATAATATATTGGGAGGGCTTGGCTCATCAGTGGTGAACCCTCTCAGCGGTTTCGCCAATTTAATCCACCAGACCGCTTCTCAGAGCTCTAATACTGTATTGGACGATTCTGCTTATATACGCAACACTGAAGGATGGAATCTCAGAAATGGTTTTCAAGAACAATATGGACATAAGCTTATAAGACAGTAGAATTACATTCAAATAGATATTAATATATATTATGATGCATTAGCGCGCCATCTGTTATGAAAATTCGAAACTATTATAGACGCGTAATCATTAATAGATATGGTGACAGTACGAAATACGTGCTTCCTAATGAAATACGACTTGAAAAATTAAAAGAAAATTTGCATCACTAAAATCGGCAATTATTTCCGTACCCCCCCCCCCCCCCCCCCCTCCCCACACACGCACACACACACAATACTATATATATGAAGGATGGAAGCTTAGGTGTGTTTATGGGGACCTATGGACATAAGCTTACAGGTAATTAGAGGTGCACATAAAATAAAGGAAACTGCATCGATGCTCTTTCGCAATTTTTTTTTTATATTAAAGCTATGATTAGCAATTTAAAATTATAAATTCAAACGCCATCTATCGGTAAAATTTAAATAATTATTCCTGTTTCTTATGATAAATATTGTCGAATAAACCTTTTATGACCTTACTGAAAAAAATGTAAGTTATTAAATGAGAGGAGAAATCGCTGAGAATGTTCGCTACCGATAAACCAAGCCCTCTAATTTAACAACTTTCATCATTACAAAAGGGTCTGTAGAAATATTTTTTTGATAATATTTATCAAAATGAGCATGTTGCCCAAATATTATCATTGAACTTATACCAGTTTGTATTTGTATAGTAAGATTGCATAAACTAAGGAGACTTGTTTCTAGATAAGTTAGTGTATTAAGAAAATCTCCAGTATATATATACCGAATTTTATTTTAAGTGGAAATGCAGTATGTGCCTTAAAATTTTATGGAATACGCTTTTTTTCGTACGTTAGATTCTCTACTATCACATAACTTTATTCAACCAATCAACGCTTAGTTCAATATCCAATCAGCGTACAAAGTGTTTTAGCTCAGTGGTTTTATTAATATTATTTTGATTCAAATAATATCTATAATTCATATATTTTAAGGTATATTAACCCTCATAGTATATTTAGCTAGAAATATCCCAGATAAATATTATTTAAATAAGTTACCTTCTCTTTTAAAATCTGAAGGCATCTCACAAATATAGATAATATATAAAATATTTTTTGTCAATCATATAATATAATATATATATATCAAATTTAATAGCTTCTCTAAAAAACACGAACTAACTATAATATATACCCAAAAAGAAATTCCATTAAATATCATAATTTTATTGCAGATATATTTTTTGAAAATATTTTATCGTCGAGTTATCTATTGATATATTTTGTTGTATTTCTTAAAATATAAATTCTACAACTATTGCTGAGATAAAAATATATTAAAATGAGAGGTTCTGGCTTAAAAACCTAACTAGTGGAATCGGCTGGAAATGTTCGGCTTTAATTAACCATGTCCCCATCTCATTTATTTTCCCATCACAGTATGAACCGTATGAAAATGTCAATTAAATCAACAATATATTTTTACGTGGAATGAAGCGCATTAACAAATGGAAGGTTTTTGTGGCGTTCTAGAATAAGGTAAAAATAATCAGAGAAGAAATGGATAGCCGATTTGTATTGATAGAGACCTCAATCAAAATACTTGCAGATCAAAACAAGAAAATATTTTTTTAAAAACAAGACTAATATAAACAATGATGAAAATATAATCAGTTTTCTAAGAGAAAATGATAATTTTGTCATTTATCCCTCAGACAAATGTTAATATACATTTATATAATGGATATAGCAGATTATGATAGCTAAATATAATATTTACTTCAAGTCAAAAAAATATATACGAATAATCAACTATTAATTCTCTATAGAAAATGATAAAATATTTCGGCAGAAAATAAATATAATAAAAGGCGTTAACAAATTAGACAACAAAGTTGTTGAGACTCAAAGCACGAAAATGTGATCTAACAATTTTCTATGTTTACCGAAAATTCATAAACCCAATAACCCACTTCGTCCCATAGTCTTATACACCGGTTCACCAATCTATCCTTTAGCCAAATATCTCTCAACCCAAATATCACCGTTTCCGAAATTTCTCTCCCAAACAGTTCAGAACCCCACAGCAGCGATAGAGATTATGCAAGGAATAACGATACCCCAAAATTGCCACATGGTTATTTGATGTTGAATTATACACTTCAATTCCACATGAAGAAGATATTTTGAATTTTCAAAATTCTTAGACACACATCCCCAACTTGAACCAACCATATCCAGAGAAGCATTCAAAGACATATGTTTGATCTAATAGTTCATCCTTCAGTTATTTTAGTTACAAAAAACAATATTATATACAAACATATTAAAGACTGTCTTTGGGAAATCCAATTAATTCTTCAATCTCTAATATTTATTTGAATCAAATATTGACTATATAACTATTGCAACAAAAACATATGAAAATATTAGTCTGGAAAATATATAATATGTAATATAATTTATGTTATTATTCTAACCTTTTTTAAATAGTTTAAAGCCAATTTCAATCTTTACATAAAAATAGTATGTAACAGGTCTTTGGAATACCTATACCTTAAGCTTACTAGGGAGAGTAAATCAATAGTGAAATAGAAACCAGCATATATATATATATATTTAAAAAAAGGCATCTACTTATCATGCAACTGAAAGTTGCTGATGGCTTGCGCCATCTATCGGAATAAATATCAACTATTCTCGTTGATTTTTAATTATTCCAGAATTGGCCAAATACCCATTCTTGATTAATCAAGAAAAGAATGGGTATTTGGCCAATTCTGGAATAATTAAAAATCAACGAGAATAGTTGATATTTATTCCGATAGATGGCGCAAGCCATCAGTAACTTTCAGTTGCACGATAAGTAGATGCCTTTTTCTTAATTTATGCACCTTATCCCAGTACAATGTCACATTTGTACTATTTTTCATATATATACATATATATATATAGAAAACCAACACATAAAGCAAATATATCAATTTTAATTTATTTGGGCATTTTAATCATTAAATATCTGTGATTAAAAAACTCTCTAAAAATATCGTTCAACACTACTCCATAAAAACAATATAATGGCTGAACAAGCATATTCGATAATGAGCTTAAAATAATCACTAAAAACATATATTATGATATATATATCCTTTAACATAACTACAACTAATAACGAGGAATCAAACATATACTCGTACTGTGCACTACGATACAAATATTACATTGAAAGAGAGAGAATAACAAGAATAATCTTTCTCTCAAAAATACAAAATAAAAACCAGGATACAACCTTTTCTATTATTTGCTATCCCAACACTGAAGATAATTGCAATCAAGAATTAAAATCAAACATCGCATATTGCATTCCCTGTAAATCATGTCATCAACTTACATAAGAGAAACCAGCATAACTCTGGAAGAGATAGTTTAAACCAGCATAAAACAAACTTTGAAAAACATAGCCAATTAATATCTTTTGGTGGATCACACACTCTAACAGGAACTTATGCTAAAATTTGATAAATTAGAATGTATACACAACAATTATCAGAAGTCTGGACATCTATAAAAGCTAACAATAGAAAATATAGATAGAAAAATCTACATCACTCCGTATATTTACAGTTGAAATATACTTGACACTTATTACACTTATTATGATTAATTTATTATTTAATTTTAGAAATGAACGAACGTAAAGTATAATTATATAGAATTTTGTGTGTATATTTAAATATTAGCCTCAGATTGTGTTTTTGGAAATCTCAAATATAATTTCGCGTGATAATTAATCAAAACCTTTACAAAATAAAGAGATATCCTGACGAGGTAAGGCGTTCAGCCTAGCGAAATATTATTATTTTTTATTTATAAAATGTTATATATATATCTTTATATATAATTGTCTTATTCTGTCTGTGTGAAGTTCACGGATAGAATTTGGTCAGAATGGATAAAATAAAAAAGGTGTCAAGGGATGGGAATCGAACCCACGACCTTCCGCTTACCGGGCAGATGCCATGACCACTAGGCCACATGACCACAATTTATAATTGTAACAAATAGTATTTGAATCAAAACATGGGCGTTTCCCGGGTCATTCGGCTAGTATATATATATTATGTAAAGTATTTTTGAGATAGAATTTGTGAAAGTTGTTTAAGGATACATGAGTATTTTATGATATTATTTTGCACACACACAGTCGTATGAACAGAATAATAAAAATAGTTAAGATCAGGAAAAGCTTTAATTGAGCTTAAGAAATATAAAATACATAATTTGAGAAGGTATTGCCTGATTTGAGGCGTAAAGAAGACAATAAAATATTAAATATTGACATATCTACAGAAAGATTTAAGTTCAGCCGACCAAACGGGAAATGAAAATTTCTTTATTCACAGGGCTTCTAATCAAAATGGATGATTTTTGAGCCCCCCAAAAAAGGCAATAGCCTACAACACCCGGTGTTCCCAGGTGGTCACCCTCCCAAGTACTGACCGGACCCGACATTGCTTAACTTCGGTGATCGAACGAGAACCGGTGTTTTCAATGTTGTATGGCCGTAGGCAAAAAAAAAATATATTTCGGGAATCGAACCCGGGCCTCCTAGGTGAGAGCCATGTATCCTATCCACTAGACCAGGTGGGAGGCGCCAAACGGGAAACAACAACAATAGGTGTATATAGGGAAAGGGACGTCGTCTGGCGGTCGATTTAAACAGAGTAATTTGTTCTAGAATTTATAATTTAAAAATATATCTAATATATTATAAAACTATCTTAGAGGCGTAATATTATTTTTAAAATAAAACAATTTCTACTGTCCTTACTGCGATGGACAGTAGAAATTGTTTTATTTTAAAAAGAATATTACGCCTCTAAAATAGTTTTATAATTTGATAACAGATGGCGCTCTAGTACATCGTAATATCTAATATATATATATGGGAAAATTGCCGGGAGGAAATTGATCCATAGAAGCATAGGGCGCTTCTCCCTTCAAAATAAACGTCAAAAACTGACGCCCTCTATTGACCGTCGCCGCAAACTAGCGGCCTCTAAATCTATGGCTAGAATATAGATGGAAAAATTGCCGGGAGGAAATTGATCCATAGAAGCATAGGGCGCTTCTCTCGTCAAAATAAACGTCAAAAACTGACGCCATCTATTGACCGTCGCCGCAAACTAGCGGCCTAGATTTGGCCCAGCCACCTTGCCAGAAAAACACCTCTTTGGTAGATTGGAATAAAGCATAACAATAGCACCTTAAGGCTTAGCCGGTGTGGAGGAATCACTCTGGGAGTAATACTATTGAGAAATTAGTAGGGAGTTATTTTGCTCCCGTGTGGATCTCATGGAATAAAGTCCGCCCTAGACTGACGAGGGCCATTAGCCCGAAACCATGGTCTCTAGGTGGACACTTCTCAATTTTCCAAAGCTGGTGTTGTGGCTTTGTCACCGACCCTAGGCCGCTAGTTTGCGGCGACGGTCAATAGATGGCGTCAGTTTTTAGCGTTTATTTTGACGGGAGAAACGCCCTATGCTTATATATATCAGCCCGTACAATTATTGCATTCTTCAAATTCAAGGACTAAACAACGAACATCAAAATATACGGATTATATTTATAAGGTCTAATGCTAACCCAAAATATATTGAGAAACGTAATTACAAGTTAAAATATTCCAAAGTGTTCCTATTGTTTTCAAAAAGATATTTTGTTATATGAAGGAAAATTAGAAATACATCTACCAGTCTGCTCTTATATTTTTACCAGAAAGGATACCTCCCTTAATGACCAACATTGAAAGATGCTCTTATAATAACATTATATTTTTTTAAATTACAAATATGTTCTAACAATGAGTTTCTTTTTAATAAAAAACGCTATCTTTAAGGCTATAATCGCTCTTCAATGGGCTTAATAAAATATTGACTTCATCCTACCTGGAATATTTACACAAACAAACGCGCGCAGCGTGGATATTAAAAACTGAAATTTTTGAATTGGTTTTTCAAAAGTTTTCAGTTATAAATTACCACGCTGCGCGCGTTTGTTTTGTAAATATTTCTGGTAGGATGAGGTCGATATTTTATTAAGTCCGTTGAAGAGCGATTATCGCTTGAAAGCTAGCGTTTTTTAATAAAAAGAATCTCATTGTTAGAACATATTTGTAATTTTAAAACTTTTTTCACAATTTTATCAAGAACATTATAATTAAAAATACACATACACAAATACACACACGCATATATATATGTCGTGATCATCGAATGTAAAGGTGCAACCGTTATGCATGTAAACTTCAAAAATTGTTCCAGTCAAGTGAGCGCGCGGCGTGTTGTAGCATTCACTCGCGCTGGCTCTCACGTTTATTTTGTGCGGTGTATTTATAGATGGATGAATTTGTATTTACAATTTAACACAATATTAACATATTTACAGTTTAACATACTTATTTTGGCGAAAAGAAATTATACATTTTGGGTATTATGCAAATTATGACATATATATATATATATATATATATATATATATATATATATATATATATATATATATATATATATATCAAGTATAAATACATTTATCATAATATATCCTTCTTAAATAATAATATGCAACATCCAAATATTAGGTCAAAGATTAAATTCTTAGAAGGTAAACAGGGAATAGTTTTGTAATTGTTTGGCTATAAAAGAAAAGCTATCCATCACCAACATAAAAATTAATGGCCCTTGACTTGGAGAGAGAACAATATTTGCCGTCTCCAAATCAAATAAATAATCTAGAAGTTAGCCATAAAAGGTAGGAGTCACTAACAATCAGCCGTGAGGATGTCAGGAGAAAGAAATGCTCCAGTCCAATAGGTTCACCTGTATCGACCCGGCAATCACCGGGGGCTGGGTATTGATTGAAGCCTTGTTCCCTCCGGCGTTATTAGATGGACACCGCAGCCACTTATTTGCCATCGCTATGGACTCTGTTTACCATTGGTATTTATACTTAAATTGAAGATAATATCAAAATAAAAATTTCCACAGAAATTAGAATTATCAAATCTTTTCTTCGAAAAACCCACACGAATTATTTTAATCGCATAAAATACTATAGTGTTTTCGTATATGTGTAAACTTTTTATCTATAATTATACATGTAAATTTCAAGTTTTATGATTATTGTTCATCATGGGAGCAAGAATTTCATATTTTAAATAATTATAAATAGTCTAACATCCACAAAATGTATATAAACGTCAATCCGAAAGCTTGGCCATTATATGATAACAAAAAAGATAATAAAGTATTATTGAGACAGCCGAACCCATGGCAGGGTAGGGTCCGAGGTCAAATTTCGGAAAGATTAATCATATATCTCCAGGAAACTGCTTAGGATTAAAATTTCTCAGAAGCATAACAATAGCACCTTAAGGCTTAGCCGGTGTGGAGGAATCACTCTGGGAGTAATACTATTGAGAAATTAGTAGGGAGTTATTTTGCTCCTCCACAATCTCACACGCCACCACTGTCAATACTGATTCATGTTTGATAAGCAATTTCTGGGGAGAAACTATAGGCATTGGAGAAAATTTGAAATAAATATATTTAAAAAGAAAAAAAGAGAAAATATTTAACAAATCAGAAAGTGATATTGCAAACAACCCAACTATATTGCAGATAAGACTACATATAAAAGGAATGAATTCATCTATAGAACCTCATTGAAAACAATATTTCTAGTTTTATATATATACAGTATAACCTCGTTAATTCTAAATACGATAATTCGACCCTGTTTTGATATTCCGACCTACGGCCTATCATATAACAAACTGTAAAATTCGAAAAACTATCGATAATTTTACATTTTAAAATTCAAATTTAGACAGTTGATTGTTGTTTAAATACATCTTCAACGCTAAAAAGGCATTACAGAGGCGAGCGGCGTACGCTGAAAATGTACAAAATTTATGCATAGTGAAGTGGGGAAATATTAGTAAATGAAGAGAAGACCAAAAATCGAAATAATTAATAATAATTTATCAGCAAATACATTATACAAAAATAAATCCTTTCAGGTGAGAAACTATAGGCATTGGTGAGAAGTTTGAATAAATATAATTAAAATGAAAAAAAAAAAGATAAGAAAATGAAGTTGCAAACTATATTGCAGAGGATATGACATATCAAAGGAATTTATTTGAAGGACCTCATTGAAAACAACATTTCTAGTTTTATATATACCAGGGTTCAACTTTACACATACGCTTTCCAAAGTTCGCGAACGTGAAAAAGCCACATAGAGCTGTCCATGCATAAACACAAGCTCTTGTAGCAAAAGACCCACTCTAGCAAAGGTTTGGCCTTGAGCCCTATTTATAGCCATAGCAAAAGCCAACCTTAGTGGAAACTGAAACCTCTTCAGAATAATGATGGTATCTGAAGGAGACAAATATATTTTTGATACCAATACAGTGTGTCCAACTTTTGTCCCTGGCACTATTTGTGCTTCAAAGACATGAGAGCACATGCGTACACAGAAGTACTTAGCCTCCACACTGTTTGAGGTCATTAAATTCTGGATTTCATATTGAAAGGAAGACAAAGCAGGAAGAGAAACTTTCCCTTGGTGGCAGCAGGACCTACCAACAGTTTCCCCAGGAAAATGCAGGGCTAAGCAGTTATATATCCAGGTCCCCAATGATATATTCAGTGGGAACAGGAGAAATAGGATTAGGGGTGTTGTTCCTGCGGCGAGTCATATAGGCCTCCCTAGTGGTTTGGAGAGTGAGTCTTTCACAGCCTTCTCGAGGCATGACAGAAGACGCTGAAAGAAAAGGGTAAATAAGAACCAAGCAGAGCAAAACTATAAAATTAAATGAAAGAACAGGCATTAAAAGGAAATCCCAATCATTTAAGAAAAAAGTATTTGCCAAAGACAGGAGAAAAAGGGTAAAATATGATATATAAAAATAGAGCTCAAAACATATTATTAAATGCAAAAACTCTAGTTGTGAAAAAATCTTAATGAAAAACAGTAACAAAGCTTTACTTAAATTTCTAATTAAATAATCGTCAATTGATGATACAAATGCAGCATCAGTTTTTTTATGAGAAAACAAAGTTGCCAAAGACACATTAAGAAAGATACTGCAAATAGGATAAATGTAAAGAAAATATTGAAAAAAAAAGAAAACCAGACACAAAAGTGAAGCTAAAAAAACATATACTGAATATACCTAAATATTTCTTTTCTAAAGGTGAAAAAAAATCTAAATGAAAAACTAACAAAGGTATACCTATAATTTTAATTAAGTAATCAACAATCGATTATAAAACACAGCATCAGCCTATTCATGAGAAAAAAAAAGATGCCAAATACATAACGAAAGATACGGCAAATAGGGGAGATAAATGCAAAGAAGTTACTACAGAAGGGAAACCCAGACACAAAAATGGAGCTTAATCTAAATGAGAAACTGTAACAAAACTATGTTTACAATTCTAATTAAGTAATTAACATTTGATTATACAAATACAGCATCAGCCTATTGATGAGAAAAAAATATGCCTAAGACATCAGGAAAGACTCTGCAAAGAGGATACTGAAAAAAGAAAACCAGACACAAAAATGGAGATGGAAA